GCTGCTTTTATATAAAAATAAAAATAAAATAAAATAAAAGGAGGAAAGCTTAGAAAGCCAATATCATGGCAAAAATATGAAGTACAGCGTGAGAACAGCTAATTGAGAAAATAAGAGTTAATAAAAGGAGATGCCTACTAAAAATCTAGAAGAAGTAATGGGGAAAATGCTATAGACTTGACAGGAAGGGTAAAAAAGACCAGAATACAAGGACAAAAGAAGTGGAAACTGGCAAGAAAAGAAGACAATCCAAAGGCTCCCTCTATAGGCTGATATCTAAGCTTCATTCAATCTGCTGCTGCTAGTTGGAACCTGCATCAAGAGAACCAACAAGATTGTAATAAATGTTGACGCATGTCCCAAATGTTTTGGATGTTTTCTGTGGGACCAAATAGACAGGTACAGCATCTTAAGAAGAGCCTCTCTTGAAGAGCCTCTCTGGGTACAGCACGGAGACGGCATTGGTCGCATTGGTGGATGATCTCTGGAGGGCTCGGGACAGGGGTTGTTCCTCTGTTCTGGTCCTGTTAGACCTCTCAGCGGCTTTTGATACCATCGACCATGGTATCATGCTGCGCTGGCTGGAGGGACTGGGGGTGGGAGGCACCGTGTTGCGGTGGTTCTCCTCCTATCTCTCTGACCGGTCGCAGTCTGTGTTGGCAGGGGGGCAGAGGTCGACCTCGAGGCGCCTTGCTTGCGGGGTGCCGCAAGGGTCGGTCCTCTCGCCGCTCCTGTTCAACATTTATGTGAAGCCGCTGGGTGAGATCATCCGTGGTTTTGGGGTGCGATGCCATCTGTACGCTGATGACACTCAGCTGTACATTTCCACCCCAGACCACCCCAATGATGCCCTCGAAGTGATGTCCCAGTGTCTGGAGGCCGTGCGGGTCTGGATGGGGAGGAACAGGTTTCGGCTCAACCCTTCCAAGACCGAGTGGCTGTGGATGCCGGCGTCCCGGTATAGCCAGCTGGTGCCATCGCTGGCTATTGGGGGCGAGTCACTGACCCCCACAGAGGGGGCTCGCAACTTGGGCGTCCTCCTGGACACACGGCTGTCTTTAGAAGAGCATATGACGGCCGTGGCCAGGGGGGCTTTTTATCAGGTTCGCCTGATACGCCAGTTGCACCCCTTTCTGGATCGGGACTCCTTGTGCACAGTCACTCATGCCTTGGTTACGTCACACCTGGACTACTGTAACGCTCTCTACATGGGGCTCCCCCTGAGGAGCACCCGGAGGCTCCAGCTGGTGCAGAATGCGGCCGCGCGGGTGATTATGGGAGCGACGTGGTGCTCCCACGTAACACCTCTCCTGCGCAAGCTGCATTGGCTCCCGGTGGTCTTCCGGGTGCACTTTAAGGTGTTGGTTCTCATCTTTAAAGCGCTCCATGGCTTAGGGCCAGGGTATTTGCGAGACCGCCTGCTGCTACCGATAACCTCCCACCGGCCAATACGCTCTCACAGAGAGGGCCTCCTCGGGGTGCCGTCGGTCAGGCAATGTCGGCTGGCGGCCCCCAGGGGGCGAGCCTTCTCTGTGGGGGCACCCGCCCTGTGGAATGAGCTGCCTCCTGGAATACGATTGATCCCGGACCTCCGGACCTTCCGTAAAGCCCTGAAGACATTTTTATTTCATCAAGCCGGCCTAGCCTAAATGGTTTTTAATTGGGATTTTAAATTTTATGGATTTGGGGTTTTAAATTTGGGTAGCCAATGATTTAATTCTTTTAATTATCTTAACTTTTGCATTTGTATGTTTTTTAATTTTGGCTGTTCACCGCCCTGAGTCCCTTCTGGGAGAAGGGCGGTATACAAATTAAATAAAAAAAAAAAAAAAGATCTTAATGGCTGCTTTGAGTTAGCCAGCAAAGGCAAGAGTCAAGTGGATTAGTAATCCTCTTTTCACCACATACCCTGTCCATGTTCTCACTGTTTTGTATATTGTTATAAGTATTTGAAAATATTGATGCTACTTTAAGTAATCTGAAATGTTATAAACAAAATATATTATGAAAAAAATCAATCTTTGACATTTTTATTATTCCTTGTTAATACCACATCACACTCCAGCAGACTGAACCCTACACAAAAGTACTCCTAATCTGCATTTTAAAAAGTTATTCATTTAAACAACTACATTATTATTATTGTTATTATTATTATTATTATTATTATTATTATTATTATTATTATTATTTATTGAATTTCTATACTGCCCTTCTCCCGAAGGACTCAGGGCGGTGAACAGAATAAGATTTCATATACATATAATAATTTTTTTTTAAATAAACAGTAAATAATAAATTGAGTCAACTTGGTGTATCTGCTAAGATCTTGGCATAGAATTTAGATGTTTATGCTAGCCCTGCTTGTTGAAACAGAAAGGTCTTCAGGGCATGTCGGAAAGTGCGAAGATCTGGGATTATTCGTATTCCAGGGGGTATTTTGTTCTAAAGAGTAGGTGCCCCCACAGAGAAGGCTCTTTCCCTTGGAACTACTAGACAACATTGTTTTAATGATAGCACTATGAGTAGCCTACTCTGTGAGAACGTATTGGTTGGTGGGAGGTTATCGGTTGCAGCAGGTGGTCTCGTAAGTACTCAGGTCCTAAGCCATGGAGCACTTTAAAGGTAAGAACCAACACCTTGAAGCGTACTCGGAAGGCCATCGGAAGCCAATGCAGCTTGCGTAGAAGAGGTGTTACGTGTGAGCGCCATGTTGCTCCCATAATTACTCGCGCGGCCGCATTCTGGACCAGTTGGAGCTTCCGGGTGCACTTCAAGGGGAGCCCCATGTAGAGAGCATTGCAGTAGTCAAGTCGGGAAATGATGAGGGCTTGAGTGACTGTGCGTAATGAGTCCCGGTCTAGAAAGGGACGCAATTGGCGAATCAGGCAAACCTGATAGAAAGCTCCTCTGGCCACGGCTGTTATATGATCTTCTAAAGACAGTCGTGCATCCAGGAGGATGCCTAAATTGCGAGCTTTCTCTGCGGGAAATCTTGAATTGATCAAGCTACGAATTAAACTAACTCTGCAGACAATCCCCAAGTGATGCCAGTTTTATTACATAGACCATCACTTAAGGAAAAAAACAACAACAGAATGAATGTTAGAAAGCATTTAGAGCTTCAGATTCCTCTTTAGAGAAGAAAATAACTCTCAACAATAAGAACAGTAAATTATGGTATGAATTGTTGCTTTATCCAATGTTGTTGTAAGTGCATAATAAATACAATTATTACTGCTATTGTGTGAAACCATTTTATCTCTCAAACTCATGTCCTGTTTAAACAGGCGTTGGCAGCCAGCAACACAATATCTATTCAACACTGAATTCAACAGTACTTATTCCTGGAATAAGAACACAGTTCCTGTGGCACACACAATATTCTTCTTTTCCAGAAGAATGCTAGCTGCTCCTGATGCTGTTACTCCTGCTTAAAATTGCTTCACTCCCTTGGGCAGGGTAGAAGGTGAAGGAAGAAAGGAGAAGAGCTCTCATTATCTAATGTCAGCCTGCCTAGATCAGGCTCTTCCTGTCCCACTTATTCATTGGTGCATCAAATTCTGCTTTCAGCAAAAATGTGTTTACAGCGTGAATCATATGAAAGAGAAAGCTAGGTTAGCTTATGTTTCAGAGGCAGGGAAGTTCTAAGTTTCCTGATCCTAGCTTTGAGATGGAGATGCAATGAGCAATTTCAGGGAGTGGGACTCTTGTTTTTGTATTTGAGAAGACAACATGAAGCAGAAAGTTAGCAAAGCAGCAGAAGTTATCTAACTTGGAACCAGTACAATAGCTGACCTCTCTACCAGGTATCTGAAAAGCTTTGTTTCTTCTCAAGCAAGATCAAACAGCTGAATACAGACTATTCTCAAAGCTGACTGCTGTCATGTGCTTGTCTCAGCTGGTTTTGTGGCTGGGGGCATAGAGGTGGCACTGTTTGTGTGGGTGGACTGATCATTCAATGGCCGATGGGCTGCTAACACTCTTGGGGCTATTGTGGACTCAGCAGCAGTCCCAGAAATATGGCAAAGGAACAGATGTGGTTGCTGCTGTGTGGTGACAAGATCATACATCTCTTCCTGCTCAATTGTTTCCTAGTACAGGAAAAGTGGAAACATAAACTGAATGTTTATGACTGAAGGCAACACCCTTTGGGGAAAAGGAGAGAGAAGATTTTGTTAGGGTGGCAGTGGGACAGATTTAGTCATGACCTGAAAGAGATAGAAGCTTGTCCATGAAAGTCTGCCCATCTGTCCATCAACAATTCCATTCCCACAAGGAAAATTCCTTACCAGGAAATAGTGAAATCCAAATGTAATAGGTAATTTCAGGCTTTTACTCAGAGGAACTGGGATTATGTCTGAGGAGAGGCTGGAAGGGAGGAGGAAGAAAAAGCAGAGCATTGTGAAATCCATGAGTCTGAGAGGTACATCTACATCAGTAACATCAGTTAAATTTGCAAAGGTTCTTTGAAACCCAAACCACAAGTTTTCTTCATTAGATAACTCAGCTATGGCTCATGGTGATTAATTTGTAAATGGCATTTGAAACTGATGAAGTCTGGCTTAAAATTGAAGGCATGTTTCAACAGCGAAATATCATATGAAAAAAGAACCCTTGGAAGACTTAATAATTTAAAAAGTCTTGAACTGCGCTGAAATGGACAAGATGACATTTCAGCTGAAAGGATTGATGGATTTGGAATATTATATAATATGGGAGAAGTGGTATAAATGGATTGAGAATAGGAAAAAAAATAATTAGATAAAGGAGGATTGAATTTAGTTAAAATGTATAGAGTATAAGTGAAATATAGTAATATGTCATGTAAATGGTCACAGTTATGGACAAACTTTCTTCTTTTTGTATTTTAATTGTTGAAAATCAATAAAATATTTATTAAAAAATAATATGAAAAAAGAACATCAGTCTGCTTTTTGTTTTTTTTAAAAATCACTTTAATATCACAACACAAATAAACAATTAAAGCTTTCCTTGAAGCAGAAAATAATAATTACTGTAAATAATCTACATCGGGGTACTCAAGCTACAGCCCACGGGTCGGATACAGTCTGCTGAAGCCATTAATCTAGCCCACACAGGACCACCAGGCTGCCCCACCCACATCACCCTGCCTACCCGCTGGCCCCCATCTTGCCTTCTGGAGGCCAAAAACAGGACGCGCGGAGGCCTCAGGAAGCCAAAAATAGGCCCATTTTTGGGTGACAGAGTGGTGCTGGAGGCCAAAAATGGGACACGTGGAGGCCTCAGGAGACCAAAAGAGGGGGGGAGGGACACACACACACACACACACACACACACACACACACACACACACGTCCCTCATAACCACCCCAAGGCAGCCACATCCCTTCACTAACCTGCTTTCCACCCCCAGGAGCATAACAGCATAACATAAAGTGAGATCCAACCTAGAATTAAGGAGAAATTTCCTGACAATGAACACAACTAATTAGTGGAATGGCTTTCCTTCCAGAAGTTGTGGGTGCTTCATCGCTGTCCCATCGCTTTTCAAAAAGAGATTGGAAACACATTTGTCCAAAATGGTATAGGGTCTCCTGTTTGAGCAGAGGGTTGGAGTAGAAGACCTCTGAGGTCCCTTCTAACTCTGTTATTCTATGTTCTATGTTCTAAATTTCTCATATAATGAACCTGATTTCTTTTTTATAAGCCAAGAGACTGTTGCTGTCTTGGCTGTAACAGGCTAATATCATTTTTGCCATATTTGTGATAGAATTTTATTTTTAAAATGTTTTAGACATGCAAAACTTTCAGCTTTATATCACAATACAGCTGGCCAAGGATCAGTCAGTTGTTTTGGCTGTCCAAACGTGAGTAAAGACCGTGGCCACAGGTTCCTCTTTTTATGAACCTTAGGAAAAGAGTAAATCCCATTGGCCCCTTCAAAACCATTTTCAATTTGGAATCAGAGGAATTTGATAAATATGCCTTTATTTGTGAATTTGAAAAATAATCTGGTTACTTTTCATAACAGTTCATCACTCTTCCACATGATGGTAGTGCCTCAACAAACATTAAAAGAGTAAGAATATATAATAATTACCATAAAGTATAATATTGTCACAAACAGCAGGAACAAACTAGGGACCTCAAATCTTCCTGAACACACTTCCAAAGTTTAGAAAATGTCATAGGTACCCCACAAAACAGCTCCCACATGAATATAAACCAGTGTTTTTCAACCATGGTAACTTTAAGATGCATGGACTTCAACTCCCAGAATTCCTCAGCCAACTGGCTGGGGAATTTTTGGAGTTGAAGCCCATTCACAAAATAGGAAGAACTGAAAAAACAGCATTGAGGAGCTGTTTCTTACTTAGTTGTGAATGATTCACAGATGGGGTTTCTCTGTAGTTCTCATCTAATCAAAGCTTATTGTGAATTTTATTATTGGCAGTATAATAATGTCACAAATCCATTGCTCTTCTTTACTGCTACAGTAGAAAACCGTGCATGTTCCTGGTTTTCAGTTGCATACTGTGCCTGTAGATATGTGAGACCCTGAAGGTTATGTCGTAGAGTTCCAGCAGCTCAGCAAAGAGAGATAACCCTTCCCCCAAAAACAGTCCCTAAGTTGTTTCCCAGTGATAATGAAATGAAAAGAAGTAAATGCAACATCAGGGGACAAATCTGAGATCAGCAATTGCAGGAGAACAGAGCGTAGTAGATTACCAGGCACAAACGACACTGCCCAAGAGTCCAGGCACAAAAGAATCCACCAGTCATGATCCAAACAATTTGATTCCCAATTTGATGCTATACCAGCCAGACATGATCACAGACTGCAGACTGAATCCTTTCACACACAGGCTTTCAAGGCTATACCCAGACATTACACACAAACCAGCAGAAAAGATGTTTCTGTGTAGATTTGTGTCTCTTAAAGAAAATTTTCCTGAGGACAAGTGCTGGGTGCTTGCCAGCTTTATGTCTTTGAACTTCCAGGCATTGGCCACTGAGTCTCAGTAAGGTTTCAAGTCTTCTGACACTGGATAAGTTGATTATGTCTCAGTGCTTCCCTTGAAAAGCATTTAACTGGGGAGTGGGGGGACTAAAATAAGATCAAGTTGATGTCATCATCAACAGAACAATTGAATTTGTAAATGTTATTTCAGGCATTAGTAAATATTATTTTCTGTCTTCAAAAGCCAAAATGTGGCTCAACAGTGTATTCCCATAAATACTGTTAACTTTCCTAACTCAAAGTGAGCAGCAACGCTGTCAAAACAAGGCACTGGTGTCCACAAAGCATATCCTGGAGTGAAATCAGAAATTTGCTTGAGTTGTAATAATCAGAACTGTAATGCAAATAGCCAAGCATTATCTTGGGGCAAAGTCATCCAAACCTGGCACTTTCTGGATGGGCAGGCTTAGCAATTCTCCAAGGGCTCCAGGCTCTACAACAGCTGGAGGGAAGGAGAGTGAGGAGATATGGGTTAAAAGTCAAGGCTCTCTCCTTTGCACCTCACTGTGAATTGCATATCTGTGCTGCCTGCCAGCCTCTGGAAGAACACTTGGATTTCCAAATATGGGCCTTATGCAGTTGCTGTCTTTCTTTTGGGACATTTTCACTCTAGATAGCACTGCCTTGCCTTAGCAGTATTTCTCCTACCTGTGGGAGGCAAAATAATAATAATAATAATTCAGGGAGAAACATCACTTTGCATTCATAGCCTGTTTGGGTTTTTGTGTGGAGCTTGATGGGTGAGGTCATGTCACCAGGTTAGTTGCAACACCATTTCTCCAGTACTTTTTGGTTTGTCTGTTTTGAGGAGGGTGTTGAGAGGCTTAAGGAATGAAGGGAAGCATGTTACATACACTAAATATCATTTTATAACCATATGGACCAGCTGCGGCTCTTCATCACAGGACACAGACATCAAAGCAGAGGAAATTTGGAAGAACAGTCTTCAAAAGAGCATAATTGTTATTTACCTTCACTTTGCTGACACTTGAGGGGAATCATTAAGAAGTAAATAATTAAAAACCTGGATGTGGGAAATGAACTTAAAAGTGCCCTGGCTCAAAGAAGGGACTTCACTGTCTGGGTAAATACAGGGTGACTTAATTTAAAATCCAAAGGAAGACAGAGATGTTGACATCTTGCTCTCATTGGAAAATCTGCTGTGTATTTTTAAGTTTTTCAAAAATGCATTTACTATTGAACTTAGAGAATTGGATTCTCCTAAGTACCATGCATGGTCACATCATTGCTGCACAAGCCGTCTGTTTCTCAACTATGATAATTAATTTTTACTGGTTAACTTTAACTTTGAAATAACCATTTCTTAACCTGGGTGAATTGCTGAATTGTACTGTGATTGTTAGGGCTGACAATTCAATCCAATTCCTTCCATCATTAGCAACTAAAAGGTAGATCGATTAACTAGATCTGTGAATACGATTTATTTTCCTCAATGCAATACTTACCCAATCAGTGTCACCTGCTTTTTTTTATAAAAGAGAGAATGATGTGGTTCTAATTTCTTTTACATGCTGCAACCAATCTCTCTCTCTCTCTCTCCCTCCCTCCCTCCCTCCCTCCCTCTCTCTGTCCTCTGACTCTTCTGAGGAGATCCACAGGAACTGCATTCCCCTCACAGCTTGTCTACCCCCCTCCCTCCCCCTGATTACTTAATATTTATCATGGTTGTTGTTGTTGTGGTGGTTGTTGTTGTTGTTGTTGTGAAAGCTATAAAGAAAGAGGATCCAGAATTTGGGGTTTGAGTTTGAAGGACTCAAACTGTTAGTCAGAAAATGAGGTGTCATGCCTGCTTATCAGGCCTCATTTTACGTTATTGTAGGCCAGAGTTGCTAATATTTTCTCCACAATTTCTTGTGACTTAACAGTTACATACTAATACTAGGGCTGGTTGATTATGGACAAGACCACCTTCCACCTGCTAAGGCTTCAGCAGCTGCTGGACCTGAGCCCAGTACTGGCAGTTGGCATAGCCAGGCACCTGCTGAGGCTCCTGGAGACACTGGAAATGTTGTAGTTGCCCATGGCCAGCAGTCTTAATTTGTGTACAACTAAATGTGAACATGAAACTAAGTGAAGTTTTGCAAGTCCCAAGAAGCAAAAGGGCAGGGGAATGAGTGGAATGGCTGCCACAACTCAAATATCCTGGGGATGATTTGCTCCAGAGATGGCAGAAAAGACCCTCAACCATCAAAAGCTCTGGAAGATGCAGGAAATTAGCTGGGGGTAAGGAGACTGGGAAACCCTTTGCCCCAAGACATGCTAAAAGATCACTCTGGATATTGTGACAATCATCAGTTGTTCTCAGACTTTTGCCATCCCACTCCAGATGGACACAGGGCAAGTAGGAAAAAAACAAGGCATTCAATATATAAAAGTAAGCCCAAATGTGATAAAAAAAAACAATCATATAACCCAATGCCTGAGAATAACTCAGAATAATTAAGAGATGAAATTACATTCAAACAAAGTTTAGCTTGTTTACCAACAGTAAGATTGGGATCCACTGTGCCTCCATGAGAGCATTTCACCATGGAGCCACCACTAACTTGGCTTTCACAGATCCATGCCTCACATATCTCACAAGAAGCAGGGACCTTCCACAGGCCCTCTCAATGTCTGGACCAGACAGGCAGATTGGGTTCTGGCTAGGCATTGCCTGGTATCCTTTGTCCTTTCCTAAATGATATATCACTAAATTATTGGTTACAAAGCTTTGTCTGGATGAAGCCTTCTTGCTTCTGTTCAAGCCAAAATGGTACAGGGTATTTGTCCCTGTGTTGATTGTTACCAATCTGAAAGGCAGGCTGTAGACAACTGTTGTGCTGGTCCATACTCTTTTCTATCCCCATTTAAGGGCATATAAGAATTAAACTATCTACTACTGATTTTTAACTATTAGGATTAGTGGTTGTCTGTCATGGTTTCCCTGAGATGGAGGCAAGGGCAAACCATTTCCAAAAATGCTGCCTTGAAAAACCGCTGGTTGAAAGGTACCCCACCCCCACCCCCAAAATAGACAACAAAGCAGCATTTCCTCACCCAATCAATAAAAGTAAAAGCTATGGCCATGAAGGAAAGCCTGTAATTGGTGACTAACTCAAGTAGAACTTGGCTCCCTTGCTTTACTTAATCACAGACCTGGTGCTTTCTCAGAAGGGTGCCAAACCCATGTGTTCAAAAAATGATGTATATTAAGAAGCTTCCTTTAATACCTGACCAGCACTTTCTGAAATGCCAGCCAGTCCTTAAGCAGGCAGATGACGGCATCATCACCAAGGGAATCAGCGAAGCTCTGCCGATCAGATCCACGAGAAGAGGAGTCAGGAGAAGAAGAGAAACATTACTTTAAAACTGGAACAGTCCAAAATAAATCTAAGCAGCCCCTGCGGTGGGCAGAGAATGAGACAAAGGCAACGTCATTGAACATGTCCTTTCAAAGCTACGGGGTATCTTTGGGCCCTGGCTAGCGGGCCACGGGGAAAATCCCGTTCTCTCCTTCAATCTTGATCACCTGCAATTTTCAAGCAGCAAACACTGATGCCATGCCAAGTGAGACTGACAGATCGGCGCCAGGAGACGGAATGTGTTTGAAGCGCTATGGGAAGGAAGGAAGGAAGGAAGGAAGGAAGGAAGGAAGGAAGGAAGGAAGGAAGGAAGCTCATCTTCGTATCAAGAGGGCCTCCACAAAAGACGCTACTCTGAACGATCGCGGGGAGGGGGGATTCTGGACATCGCTGCAGTTCTAGAGCCGCCCCGCCCGCCCCGCTCCCAAGAGCAGCTGGAGTTTGTGCTCCCTTTGATTCGATCAAGGGACCCACGCATCCATCCTCTTCTTTTGCTAAACTAAGGCCATCCGAGGAGGGTGGCCAACTTTTCTTCCTCTTAGGCCTCGACTCCAACGCTCCACCTTACCAAGGACCCTGGTTTTCAGAAACCCAGCGATCGGAAGGGTTTTCCCCTCCCCCCCATCTTTATTTCCACGCCAGAACTAGCGTCACGGGCTTCTTTCCCTGATATTAGTCCGTAGTGTTTGGAAATGAACTAGATGGCCATCGGTAATGGTATATAATTCGCCTTGGAAAATGCGAGTTCTCAGGACTCACGCCCGTTTCTCCTTCATTGACTCCCTCCCTCGTGCGTCCGGCGTGTTGGGGGTTAACGTCTGGTACTTGGCGAGCTCGTCTGCAAAATCCTCCCTCTGATATCCAAGACCGTTCTTCAAAAAAAGAAAATCAATCTTCAGGGCCCGTGGCCAATAAGAGGAGTCCTGGGCGTGCCAAGCAACCAATTGGGTGACATGATTTGCGCCGATCTGACCCACCCTATCTCTTTCCTGAAAACTGCCCACATATGGGTTGTATATGTAAGACTCTACATATTTCTCTATAATAGCGAGGGGTCAGATTCGACGAAGATTTGAAAGGAAACCGGGAGCGAGGGGAACCGGCGCTGGATCCGAAGGAGAGGGGACGCAGCGAGAGAGTAAGGCACCGGCTCCCAGCCTCTACTAACCTCCGGTGCAAGTGTTCCGAGGTCCAGAGATCAAGGGCTCCGGGAACTTCGGGGGAGGGTGGGGTTTTTTGTTCCCCGCGCAACAGCGGCACCCCTTCCCACTTCGTCCGGCGCGAACATCGCGCTCGTTAGAAGAGAGAGTTGCCACCAAACGGTCCCACGCGTGGGAAAAGTCAGCGGCTAAGCGACCCCCGACGGCGCATAGGGCGGATCGGGACCGGTAGGCGGCCCGCGTTTTACAAGCACCCTAGGCGCGAAAGAAATGCACCTTTCTTTTTAACGGGAGAAGCGACGGTTCGGCGGCCCACCCCGCGGCGCCGCTCGGAGAACTTTCGCCTTTCGCTGCCCGTTGGGTCTCTGCAAACGCCAGACGGAGGGGGCCTCGCCCGCCCGCCCCCCGCCGAGCTTCCCCCCCCCTCTATGTAGTCGAAAGCGTCTTGCAGAGAGTGTGACGGCGAAAGAAAGACGAGCCGCCACCCTCACTTCGTTCGCCTCTCTCCGAAGTGACACCGGCGGCGACCCGGGGAACAAGACACACAAAGGGAGAGCGAGCGACTGAAGCGTCTTTACGCGCACAGCCCTCGCCCCGCTCCGCCCTGGCGCGAGAGAAAGCCGTAAGTACAACGGGCTTCGGACGGTCCTCAACTGTCCGCTTGAGGAATCTGGGAAGGTCTCTTTCTGGCTCTGAGATAGATTGCCCCGGCCGGCCGCCGCCGCTGTCTGTTCTCCCCCGCTCCCCCTCCCACCCAGGCGACGGGAGGGAAGGTCGCCGCCGCTCCCTTTGCCTCTTGTCTGCGGTCAGGATCAAGTGGGAAGGCGCGTGACGGCGCGCCCACCGGGTCTTAAATCTCTCGGTGGCGGAATGCCCTGGAAGGCGGGAGAGGGGGGGAGAGCCGGTTGCAGAAGGGAGATTGCTTTGCCCGCTGTGGCAGATGTAAAGGAGGAGGAGGGGCCGGAGTTAGCACTTGCTATTAGAATGTGCTTTGAAGTCCTCGTGGTATTTTCAAAAATCCTTTTCTGTTTCTGTTTCATACTTACATGGGATGAGTGGGGAGGGAGAGACTTTCTCAAACCAGAATAATGTCGCTTAGAAGGAAAAATGGAGTTGGTGAAATTAACTTTTTGCCACTCATTTAGAAAGTGTACAGGGAATACTGGGGGGGGAAAAATGCGGAATGGGGCTGCAGAGAAAGCATCTTCAGACTTGGTGAAAGATCTCCCAGCTAAAGCAAAGTCCTTGTGACTTCTGCTGGGCTGTCCTGATTCCATGAATAGGCAGGAGAGCAGCACTGAATTTACACCCAGTCTGAAGCCACATTGACAAAACTAGTGTTATATGTGTTGGGGGTGAGTTAGTTCTGGGCCACAGTCTTTGGCTACCATCTTATCTTTCTGCCCACTCTTATGCTGATCTCTCCCAACTTCTGCTGATCAGACCAGTTGTTAGAAATTAGCAACTGGAGCTCTTAAACCCAAATCTGGCCTAATTGTTGGATACATAAGTAGCTCTTGATGCTGCACTGCTTTGGCTGCATGCTGAAGTTAAAATCTATCAATTTTGTTGTGCCTGGTGAATTAAATAGGTTTGGCTCAATCAATGTAGAGTTTAGCACTAGCACTAAAGTGTAGTCCTTAGCTATAAGCTTTGAAAACTTCAATTATATTCTTAGCTTGTCTGTGATGATACCAGGGGAAATTGAATAGCTTTTAAGCTACAATCTTAAACCTATTTTCTTGAGAATAAGCCCTAAAGATTTGAATGAAACACTGAGACACATATTAGTCAACCATCTTTTAGTCTAGCATGTTATGTAAATCTGTCTCTTGTTATTACTTCATTTCATTCTGCTGTGCAAACCCAGAATCATTCTATAAACCATGATTTAAACACATGAAAACATGTCATGCAAATATTCAGATGAAAGTTCTGATTAGGAAAGAATTTGCTTCATTAATTTTGAAAAAGCCTGCATTGTGTCTTTCATGCTACCAGGTGGTTGGGTTCAGTTTTCTGTGGGGATTTTGACATCTGTTCATTAAACATGTGTGGCCAAGTTGAAAATGTTCCACTTTTAAATAATGGCATTATTTATCTATTTTGTAGATATTCAGATCAACCAATTAACTAATCTACATTCCTTTCTCTTCATAATGCAACCAATATGTTACTTTGTAAGATGAACTAATTATGCAATAATATGAAGGCAGACAATATAGTGAATTTATTGCAGTGTACATTGTTTCTTTTATCATATTTATCTGTTTCTTCTTAACCAACATTAGGAACATCACTGATCCAAGAAGGACCAAGCAGAGAGCATGAATCCCAATTGGTTTCTGTACTCTGCTTAACAATAGTTTCGTTTTCACATTATACAGTACATCACTATTCTTTGTACCACATAAAAAGGGTTGAGGTTTGGATTACATAGCTGTGGTCAACATCTTGACCTTTTTGATCACCTTGTGGGTTCCCCAGGGATAATGAAAAGTCAGATCTCAGCAAAAGTAAGGACAACAGCATAGATAGACACACAGATTGGCAATTTCCCATTAGCTTTTGACTTAATAGCAATGTTTGGTTTACCATATATATTTGACTAAAATCAATGTTTGGTTTACCATATATATTTGAGGATAAGCCAAGAATGTTAGGGGCCAGAAAGCACCAAAAAAATCAGGTTTGGCTTATCTGGTCTATCCATAACCAAATTGGAATTTCTTTTTTATTTCCTGTATATACTTGTGTATAAGCCCATCCTCAAATGGTCAGACCTTCCAATTTTTAGCCAAGAAACCATGAAAAATGCAGGTTGGCTTATTCTTATGTGGCACGTTTTTCTGGTAGTTTTGTTAAAAAATTGAGGACTTATATACAAGCATATACATTAAATTAGAAATGTTCAAAATAGATTAGAACAGCCTGCAAATTACAAAAGAAGACCACTTCTCTGAAGAAGCAGTACTGCCTTGGCCCTTCTGAATACACTATGGTGCCAGGGTTTCTTTTAAATGCAGAAAAGGTCTGCTCAAAAAGAAATTCCATTGAAGCTTGCTTCTACCTAAGGAGAGGGTTGCAACCTGAATTTGCAGAAAATAGAGACGTTTTTGTAGGAATCAGCACTGGGTTGAGAGTGCCTAAACCTGCTCCAAACTCTTAATTGCCAGGAAGGAAATATTTCTCTTTCAAAAGAATATTGGATTAGATCTTTTTCAGATCATGAGGCGCCCCAGAGCAAAGACAATACTTCCATCTGATAGCTTCTTTCCAGGCTGTATTTCCTAATAAACGGCTAAGGTGTGTGAACTGATTATCCATCTTTGTAATGTGTGAAAGAGTAGGTGGTTATTTTAGGGATGGATCTGGCACAGCTCCCAGAATCATATTTGCTGTTCATGTGTCTTAGAGAAGTGTCTGAGATGTTACAAAGATATCAGAGGCTGTTTCCCAGAAAGAACATTAACAATGTGCTTAGGGGGAAAAAAAGCATTGGCTAGAAAGAAGAGCCACTATATTTAATGCTTCATCACTTCAAATAGTATCTGGTTGACAAGAATGCAAGTGTAAAACTTGTAATTTTATGTCTTGCATTGATCACTTTACTACCAAGAGCCTTGGTAGTACAGTGGTTTAATGCACCCTGTTATTAACACAGCTGCCTGCAATTTCTGCAGGTTCGAATCTCGCCAGGCTCAAGGTTGACTCAGCCTTCCATCCTTTCTAAGGTAGGTTAAATGAGGACCCAGTTTGTGGGGGCAATAAGCTGACTTTGTATAAATATACAAAAGTATGAAGGTTATTGCTTAACGCATTGTAAGCCGCCCTGAGTCTCCGGAGAAGGGCGGCATATAAATCAAATTAAAAAAATAAAATAAAAAATAAAGGCTCATTTGATGACAGAGAGAACATTTTTGATGGGTTTCATAGAATAAAACCCATGCAGCTTCCCAAATTAACATTGTGAGGTGTATACTGGAACACATTGGAGTCTGTTATTATGCCAGATGCCAGCATGGAAAGCATCCAGATGGTCATGTCCATTTCTCTTAGGTTAATGCTTGTTTGCCAACTGAGTCAATCAGAGAGAATATGAGAAGATTTAGAGGAGGGATTCTGCTCAGTAGCCTTAACTCTTAAGTTCTATAAGGTTGGTTTCTTCTTGGCACTGTCCCCAACAGTATGAAAGCTTTGAAGTTATCTTATATCTGACCTGATCAAAATAGCTGCTTTAAATAAATAGCAAAATGGGCATACCAAAAGTATAAACTCTTGGGACTGGGGAAATAAAGTACTCTATGATTGCTGAATTAATTAATTTATTTCCCTGCATATTTTTCATCACTCAGAGCAATTTATAGTGATATAAAATATAGTACAGTGTAAAATATAGCCACAGTAGGTGGCAGCATTCAGCTAACCTTGGCTGATCTCAAAAAAAAAAAAAAAAAAAAAAAACTAAGCAGAATCAGACCAGTTTAACATTTGAATGGGAGATTTCCAATAATTTTTAAGACTGGGAAGTTGAAAATAAATTAGAGATGAAAGCAATGGCAAACAGCTATCATATTATTGCCAAGAAAATGTGTGGATGTAGTTTCTATCCAGTCTCCAGGTTCTTCAATATAAAGTAAGTCACACAATTAAAAGAATGAGTATAAAAATAATACTGAATACAGAAAAAGCATCCTTTAGATAACAAAAAAATACAGTCATTGAAATGACTGAGAAAAAGCTATCTGAGATTCATAGTGAAAAGTGTTTCACAATATTGGTACAACTATTGAAAACATTGTCTTTTGCTATCATCAGCTGGGCCTCCACCTTAGTTGAGGAACACAGACTGATCTCACCTTGTGATCTTAAGAACTTTAGCGCAGATGAAGAAGGGATGTCCTAGGCCCAAGCCATTTAGAGCAGTTGTTTGCATATTAGGGAGTAAATCCCATTGAACTCAATAAGGGCAGTTTTCAATGACCATGTCTAGAAGAAGATGATTTGCATTCGAAGTGTTTTTATATGTGATCTCCATAACCTTTAATGGTTCCACTGTGAGGTAAAAGCAAAGTTGTGATTCCCAACTCCAGATCAATGAGGAAAATGAGATTGAGAATGGCCCACCTTTATCTTTGCTCAGAATTTACTTTCCATCACTTATTTCCTTAGAACTTATTCCCAAGTGAGAGGTTTGCTCCAACTGCAACTTTGGGGTTTGTAGCTGATAAAAGTCTAAAGGCCTTTATCTGCTTTTATGCTATATTCCACTAACTTTATTTTATCATGCTGTTGGATGGACTGTCCAG